GTTTAATGCAATTGTACAACTCGCTGAAAAGTTACACTGAAATGCTGTTCAACCGATTGACATTCCATGCATATAATTTACTGAATGATTATATAAACGAACATCTGAGTTCGAGGCTTGCGCGCTTTGGCTAGCTGCCAAATTCGAACATGTTAGTTAACTGCACAATAAATTTCAGACATTCCATGCATATAATTTACTGAATGATTATATAAACGAACATCTGAGTTCGAGGCTTGCGCGCTTTGGCTAGCTGCCAAATTCGAAGATGTTAGTTAACTGCACAATAAATTTCAGACTCCACTTTATTTTCAGGAATGTTTCCTTCACGGTTTTGCAATTCACTGTCGAAAGTATATACTGGAGAGCTTCAATACAGAAAGAGAACAATGCACAAAAATATAGTGATGGCAGTTTATTTTGAATTGAGAAGAAATCTTCGTGGTAATGCCGAATTTCTGCTTATGTTGTTTGTGAATATCTACAAGACCACACCAAAAGTTTGAATTTTGGATGCATCGTTTAAAGAAAATATCAGATGCAGCTTGCTAAAGTCGTCCCTATACAGTGAAATAGTGTTCTGATTTGGTGTTTTATGTGTTACCAGTGATTAAAATTATGTGGTGGTTTTTTCTAATCTTCAGTGACCCCAGCGGTGCAATATTTGTATACACAGATTAGCGATTCGGTTATAACGTCGTAAGTGCTATATCGTATATCATTCATATTAATCGATTATTGTGTTGGTGCTCAGAATTAATTCATATAAAACTAAAATCAACTTACAATGTTAAGGTATTTTCTGATTTTGCTAAAAATGCAATCCATGCAGAAGCAACAGCAATTCAAGCTGTTATGGTAAGTTCATGAGTTTCAAAATAGAAAGAAATTATTGGACTGGTACTTAATATGACTGCTGAAGATGAATTAGATATATGTAATAACATATTAGAAAAATACAAGGAATACATTAAAATTAATAATAATGCACATTCTATATTATGGTGTCTTTTGTATAGTATGCAGAAAAGGTTAATGATTTTAAAGTGTATGAAATGTATTATAAAAAAAATAGTGTTAAGGAAACATTAGCATTACTATGAAATACTGTAATTTATAATTATGTGATATTTAATTGAGTAATATTAAAAAACACTAAATATTTTTTATTGATTGCAAATTGCGTTTCGCTTGATATCTATTCTTCCAAACACTGTATAATTCGCGTTTTTTTAAATATTGCCATTATTTATGTTTATTAGATTATCTCAATAAATGAATTTTGGGAATTAAGTTTTATTTTTTATTAAGTATATTCTATTTTCTTAGCTTACTTCTTATGTGCTTGTGATAACAAAGAAATTTATAATAAATAGAAACAAAAAAGTTCATCGTGGGCTATTTTAACGAAGAGCTTACTTTAACGTACTTAGCTTACTATCGTATACCTATATTATTTCAAATTATTTCTGTAGAGTAACAAAAGGAGAGTTATTGATTCTAAAAAGTGCATTAAATAATCATTGTAATCTACCACTATTCTAAAATGTAGAAACTAACAATAAGTAAATACATTAACATATGATTCGAAAGAAATGGTGTTAAAAAAAACTCAGCATTATTAGTAAATACTGCAATCCATAATTATTACACTTTTAATTGCTTATTATTTAAAAAACATGAATAATTTTTTATTAATTTAGTTCGGTTACCTTCCTTCTGCTTATTTATACTTTGAAACACTGCTAGTTCATGTTTTTTTCTTAAATAGTGCTGTCATGTATGTTGTTTGTTAGGTTATTATTTCATTTGAGGTATGAATATAGGAATTTTTTTTGGTTATTAGATTTAGATAATTTTCGTATTAAATATTTTTGATCACATTTATTAACTACTTTATACAGTGTTTCATTTGGATATCTTGGAGATATAGAAGTTAATGGTTATATTTTTTACTATAAAATGCGAATAAATTTATACTTGAATTCAGGTAAAATACTGATTATGCTACCATAAGAACCGCTTCCTAATTTATCATGATGGGGGCAATTTTAAATGTCTCTGTGATTTAACAGAAATAAATGTGATAATGCTGTTATAATCAGAAACGCTCTTTTTTTTTTTAACCCACATATATATCTTTACTTTTATTTATGTCTGACTGAGTTTTATTTACTTAAAACCTACTATTAATGCTATATATTTATAATAACCACTTTCATAATTATTCTCACTTACATACTAAAGGATTAAGGGGAAAAAATGATAAATCTTAAATAATCGTGACTTGGAATTTAAGTTATTTAAAAAATGTAGTTTAAAGTACTGAAAATAATTACGGCTATTATTCAATATGCATATTCTAAAGAGAAAAAATTGTATTATCTTCTGGTTTTCAGGAAATGATAAAATATTTAAACTTTAGACAAATACAAGGAATACAAAATTTAAAAAAAGAAGAAAAATATATTAATTACTAAGCTTATTTAATTCATAAACCAATATGTAACCAAAGCACACAATAATGAAATTTTCAAAACTGTTGCAAAACGGTGGAATTTGGTGAACATTTAGGCATTTTTAAGACGTCGTGATACGATGCTTTCACAACCGAAATATCACCTAAGAATGACTCAATAACGATGTCTATGCGACAAAACATCTTTGCAACAGTTGCAAAACAGTGGGTGTTCTTGGACATCTGATCATCTTTAGGACGAACATATTGCAAAGTTTTTGCAACAACATCCGCAACGAGTTTGCAACATCGCTAGGATGTTGCACGACGTTGCTGTGCTACTTGGGACCAAAGCTTATTCCTTACAGTATTGCATATATAGCCTGCTTTATTCTTCTCATCAGTTAACATTTCTGTAATTTATTGCTCTAGGAAACGTTTGATTCTACATTAAAATCAGGAAGATTTTGAATTCTTACAACATACATATTAAAATATTTTTAAAAAAATTACAAAGTTGTGAATTACTTAATTGTTTATTTAATTAGCTATAAGAACTTATTAGAAAAGTCTACAAATCACATACTTCATACAAACTAGTAGATGTTCTAAATACTCATACATACCACAATAAAATTAAAATTCAAACAAATACTTAACTTTCATGATGCCAGAATGCATAAGAAACACTGGAAAGTCATACACTTTTAAAATTAAGCAAAATTCAGCTTTAGATTCACAATGATTTAATGTTAGTTTCATGAGTAACCTGGTGATATGCTTCTATTCTACTTATTAATTCATAGTGCTTTAGTTTAAATTGCAGAAGCAGGTAACAACTGTAAAAATGCCTTCGCAAAGGTGAGAAAAGTAACGGACTGAAAAAAAATTTTAAATGCAAGATTAATGTACATGTTGCAAAGAATTTGTTCTGTTTTGTACTTTTCGGTCGATTAGTAAGGCAATATGTGTGCTGCTTTTTTTACATGAAAAACCCCTAGTCACATAAGATCAAACCTCAATATTTACTCATTTAATTATATATAACTGCACATCTTTAAATCAAGTTTTTTTAATTGAATAATTACAATTGTCACGAAGCAAAAATAAGGTCTAAATCTCCAGTGTATGAAAGAAAAAGCAGTAATGCATTTCATTAATCAGCACTGAAATTTACTCCTCGATAAAGGTACACTAATAAAATTTTTTATTTTATCTTTAAAGCCCAAAGTTACAGCTTTGGTTTCTTATAAAAAATTTAAGTCATGAATGATGATTTTCTTCTGTCTAAAGTAGTTTTCTGTCTCTCAATATACGTATTTCAGTATCATCTCAATGTCATAGGTATTTTCAGTAACTTGCCTCGTATTCGGCCTTTCCTTTTGCATTTTCAAAAACTCATAATTATTGCATTTGCTATGTTTTATTTCTTTGAAGTCTGGAGTCTAACACCAGCTTCTTCAAATAATTTATTAACAATTTTACGTTTTTCTTCATCTTTCATATTTTGTTTCATTTCTTTTTCTAGAACTTGAATCAATTTCCTTCCATCTTTCATTTCTTTTAAAATTCCATGTTCCTTTCCCCCCCCCAAAAAAAATTTTTAGGATAGCTACTCTGAGCAAGAGTTATCAGCTGTCTCGGCACTGGTACAAGTTGTGTATTCTCATACAACTTCACATCTCTAAGATTCAAATAAGCATTCAGAATATGCTCCAAGATTTTAAAGCATTCTTCAGTAAGAACCTTTCCTGAAGAAGAAAACTCTCACTTCACATAGGCATAAGAATTATAATTTTAAAAGTTTAACTAACGACCACAATATTTTGGCTGTTCTATGTTACTGCTTTCTAACAACTTCCAGTATACAAATTAGATTAAAGTATAAATAAAAGAGTTTAGTTTCAAAATTTGGTACAGAGCGATTATTTCAAGTTTACTGTTTACTCTACACAATATTTCTCTAATTAGCACTAGCTTGCCAACCAAAACATGTAGCTGGAAATATCTGAAAGTTTAAGTCAGGATTTTTGGCATTTATTTTTAAATTTCAGAAATTTGTTATCCTACAAATCATCAGAAATTCAATTTGTGACAATATGTTAATAAATTTTTAATTTCTGATTTTAGTTTTGATATGTCTAGTTATGAAATTGGACAGGACAAAAATTCACTCTATAATCTTTTATAGTTACTGAAAGATAATTTGGTACTTCATTTTAATTTTTCAGGTATTTCAATCCACTAGTTACATGTTCCTCATTAAAAAGAGGTTCCAATACCTGCCTACATGAATAATAACCTAGGAGATGATCTTCAAAGTGCTGAAGTTTCCGCTCATCAATAAACATATCAGAATACATAATAAATAGCACAACTAGTAACAACTAAAAGGTCTGCTATAAAGTTTTTGTTTATCACTATAATGATTTTTTTTTTTCTAAAAACAGTGACTTAAAATGTTTAAAAAAAGTGACTTAAGTGAGAAAAGTGATGCACTTGTATTCCTAACTGCATATTACTAATACAATAAGACACTAACCTATGAGTGACAGGTGAAATATAACTGAGCAAAGTGTACTCTGTTATACTCTGGCAGTGGAATGAAATACCATTTAGGAGAAATAAAGTCACCATTTTTGATGACACATTTGCATGAAATTGAGATATATCCATCATCAGAATCAAAGTTGGTATCTGTATGCATACTGATGCCATACTTGTATAAAACTGCAGCTCTGGAGGGCTACAAAAGACAGAAACAACCAAAATTTAGAACACAAAGATATATATTGATTTACATTTGCTACAATATTTTTCAAAATACATACATATCTTAAAGCATTCTTTCATGTAGAAGAATAGTTGCTTAGTAAGCACATAAAAATCAATCAGTTTGGTTGAACTAACAAGAAGTCTCCCATCTTAAATATCAAAACTCAAAAAAAATTTTGAAATGAATTGTACATGAATATGCTATTTTAAAGACACAGGAATTTGAAGAAGCTGCTAAAATGCTGCAGATAACTAAATAAAAATATGTAACGTACAGCAATATTTGGCTATCAGTGCTATTTGGGAATTTTGAAGAATTTCAAAATGTTACTTTTGAATAACCCGCCTATGAGTGCCCAAGTGGTTAAAGACACTGAATAACTAATTGTTCCTATTAGATTCAAATCCATATAAGGGAGCTAGCTACATTTCAATCTTCAGAGTTTTCTTTAGGTGTAACATAAATATGAGCTAGTTTCCCTAATAAAATTTTCCGAGGAGGCAGATAGCCCTCATGTACTTAATTAAAAGCAACCAAATGTCCTGATGACTGATACTTAAAACAAAAATACACAATAAACAAACAAATTAGAATGTTAATTTCCAAGCATATGTTCCTGTATTAGTTTCATTCATTTATATCCTGTTTATTAGTTATGGTGAACAAAATATTTATTCTCGGACACTGTTTGTTCACTTTTTTACTACAATTCATGCAAGAAGATTTATTTCTCATCAATATGAAGTAATTTAATAAACACTGAAGGAAGTTAGGATTTTTAAAACACAGACAGAATTTAGTGAAGATACCTTTTTGTAAGAAACTGCAGGTTTGGGCAATACAAACGATGTATGTTTCAAGTTATAATCAATATGCTGATTATGGTTAATAGTATACTAAACATGAGGTACAATACAGAAATGATTAAACAATAATATTGGATAAATGCAAATGTTCATCCCATTTCTTAGAGATTAAAATTACAAGTGGATTTGATGTTGTACATGACACTGTGATGATTGGAATTTTCAACCAATTAAGTGTGCACCCAGATACCATACAGAGGCAACATGCTTGTAAGAGTAAACAATTTGATAAGAAATAATTTTAAATCGTTTCAAATAATGAGGATAAGAAGCATATCAAGACATTATTTGTTATATAAGTTTGATAGAGCAGTACAGCAGTGCTAGCATGATGAAACATTTGTCAAGTGCACAGGAGGATGCATTTGACAATATTGCATGCTGCCACTGGTTTTGATGTTCAGGGATGGAAAGTGAAGCTAGGAAAATCAGTCATGTTCTGGATGCATATCAGTCATTAATGAACAAATTCTGGACAAAGCCATGCAGCTTGCCTCCAAAGGAATTACAGAAAATGCTATTTGTATACAAAACAGCAGCTTACAGATGAATGCATGCACTTGGGTTCACAACAAAGCTGGATCATTGTGTTTTCATATAAATTCTCTGAAAGACCATGATACATGAGGATTTCTCATTCACTTTCAGAATGTGATTACCCGAATGAGCATTGTTGATAAAATTGTTCTATTTGAACGAAGAGCCAGCAACTGTTGCATTGTGAAAATTTCGCACAGCGAAAGGACTGACACCTAAGAATGGCCCAATATTGTGCTCTGGAATACTGAAGCTTGTCAAACGGTTCGAAGAAACTGGCTCTTTGAAGGATCGGCCACAAAGAGGAAAACCCTCATTGGTGAAGAGCTGCAGTAAAAACTCCCAAGAATGATATAGAGGCAGAATCATCCACAGTGAGTAGCAGTGCTCTCAAAGCTGGAAGGATACTGGATGTGCCTCACTCATCGATTCGACACATCGTTCATGCGATATTTGCATCTCTATCCCCAAAAATTGCAGTCACTATATGAGTTACAACCAGGAGACACAGCTGTGAGGGAATCATGTGTTGAGTGGACTATGGCAAGAATTGAAAGCGACCCTCTGGTTGTTCAATGTTTTCTGGACAAATGAGACACACTTCACTCTACACAGGTATGTCAACCCAGATCATTCGACATGGGCGACGACAAATCCTTGTGAATACACAACGAAGTCACAGCACCCAGCCAAGCTGACAGTCTGATATGGCTTCATTTCATCTTTCACTGTCGGACCATTTTTTACTGAAGAACTGTATCCCATATCTGGCAGAGAAACTGCTAAGCGTTATCTCACTCTTTCGCATGAAAGCCATCCCTGCATTAAATCTCTTTACCTCTTTAGGTGTGTTATCTGTAATAATCTTTATGCAGGATGGCGCACCGTCATACTATGCCAATCCAGTAAAACGATTCCTGTTGAGTACCTTTGGTGAAGACAGAGTGATCAGTCTAGATTGCAAGATCCCATGGCCTCCACAATCACTCTCCCTCACTCCAGTTGATTTCTGGTTGTGGAACTGTTTAAAATCACTTGTATACCGTTCAACCCCTTCAACATTGGACAAACTCAAAGATTCTGTCTGTCGTGAGGCTTCTGTAATTCATTCCAACATGTTGCATTCAGCTGTAATGGGCGTTGTGAGTCGCCTTAGTTGTGTCATACAATGTTCTGGAGGTCATGTTGAACAACTGTTATTGCAAGAATAAATGAATGTACTGTTGTCCTATTCATTGCATTTTGGGTTGTCAGCGCCCTCAACCAGTGATATTTTTAACTAAAAATATTTATGCTGCTAAAAACAATCCAACTTCCTTATGAGTCCATCCTTGCAAACTGCACTTCTTTATCATAATTTCTTCCTTTTTTGAATTTTTAAAGTTTTAACAAACTTTTGGCTCACCCGGTATATATACATACTATCCACTCCTACGTACATATGTGCATGTAAGGTTTTTATGTTTTCAAACTGTTAAATACAATTAAGTAATTATTTTATAAAAAAGGCAATCATGATAGTTTTTATTATTTAGAAAAGAGTGCAAATTTCCACTTTTTGCAGTCTTACCACCATTTTTTAAAACAGGCAAAAAAAGCATGCAAAGAGAGTAAGATATGCATTTTGCTAGTGGGATATTTTAAAAAGGAACAAGTACCTAAACTAAATGTTAAAAGCATGCAGAACCATATGTTTGATTATTTGGCTCATAAGCAACAGAAACAGAGAAATCAACATACGGTTTTAAACTTGAAAGGTCTACAAATTTCCCCCTGCTGTTAAATACAGCTAATGTCATTTTATATTATTATTTATTATATTCTGATATATCACAAATATGTAAGATAGACATGCATTATTTTTAAGCGTATAAATAAGGAAAAGATCTATTACTTAAACTTGGATTAAGGGATCATCATATTAGAATTAAAAATATACTACCAGACAAAGTCAATGCAACACCCTGAAGATTTGGTTTTATGCTTATATTGCAAGGCATACACATCTGAACAGTTTATATAGATAAACTAATACACAAGTGTGTCCCATGATAAGCTAGCAAGATTAAAAAGGACGGAAATGTCAGAGAAGTCAACACCTAATATTCTTTGTCAATACAGGAAACCCATTTTTTGAACTATTTTTCATCTCAGAATACATGCATAATGGAAGAGATGCCTTGTGGATAAAGTCAGTTTCAGCAGTCGCACATTTTACATAAAGACTCATTTTAGGCCTATAAACAGCTGATTGGTTGATGAGTGCTTTCATTGTAATACAGCTCAAACCAGTGCACAAGAGATTTGGAGATGAACTAAAGAAGAAAAAATGAATTGTGCCAGGGGTGCTGGTGGATCTAGATGGATGTCAGCGTATTTGGATTCATACATCTAAATATGTGCAGTGACAACCTTACAAAGCATGATTTTCCACATCATGCAGAATTTTCAAAAAGCTTTGCTTGATTTTATACCAGAAAGAAAAATTTCAAGATGATTGGATGAAAGCATCGTCCAGTTACACCACAGTTTACAAAGACAGCCACTCATGAAACCATCGGTATCAATGACTTAACACCAGTAAAGATTATTTCGAACAACTGGGTGGCATAAAGTCTCATACAGCAATGAATCTCACTTCTGTTTCACCATTGACAATCAGTAAGTAAAAGCCAGGATGAGATGTGGAGACAGATTAATCTTGATGTGGCTATCGAACACTGTACTACTCGATAACACAGCATCATGTTTTATGGCATTATGACCTTAAATTGCCAGTCACCTCTGCTTCGTATCACAGTCATGAAGGCACTACAATAATACCTGGGTGAATTACTGCAGCTGATTGCTGTATTATCCTACTTTCAGAATTGCAAATTAGTTTTTGAGCAAGATAATGTCTGACTATGCATGGGAATCCTCAGCTCCCAAGTCCTACAAAGTACTCATAAATTTCTTTTGCTAAGTATCCAAATCTCACATGATCAAGCATTTTTGGCACATGATTGGCCGTTGTTTGCTTGATCTTCCCCAGCCTCAACTGCAGGTTGAACTATGGTAGCATACTGAAAGCATATTGTCACTGATTCCTTAGACATAAGAACCCCTGTTGATTTAACATACGGCCATATGCTGATTTCATCTGTACCTAAAGAGATGCTTCTTGTATCACAAGAAGTGGTCCTACTTCCTACTGATCACATGGTACATTCACGGCCGGATTTAGACTGATAAGACCCTAAGCTATTTCAGATATGGGGGCCCTTTATACAGCAGTGACAAATATGATTTTCAGATACCTAGAGGGTTTTTTGGGAGCCTCCAAGAAAGCGGCGGTCCTAAGCTATAGCTTGTGTAGTTTATATGTAAATCCTGCACTGGGTATTTTTCCACTGCTGCATTGCATCTTTTTTCAATAAAAATCAAGTATTTATGCACATGCATTCTCTGTATGCCTATTTTCACCTCCCTTTCATAGTTCTGCATGTTCTGTCAAGTAATGCATGTTATATATGACGAAGCAGTTATACCTCAAAATACTACTATAAAACTTCCTAGAAAAGCAGTGGATATACATTACCTATAACAGTGCTTCTCATTACTAATCAGCTTCTTTGAATATACATTTTGAAGGCTGTAAAGAAGCAAATGCTCAATATAGTAAAGAATTTTTCAGAACCTATATTACCAATAAAAAGATTAAAATACATATCACAAAAGTCTAAAATGCCTTCAAAACCATTAGTAATCCATTTAAAGTCATACTGCACTTAAATGAAACAAGGATGACAGCAAATGTTACACATAATGCAATATTCCTTCCACATTCAACTCGACAATCTTCCACATTCCATTCAACTTCTTTAACGTTCTAGCACACGCGCTTGGCAGTTTTACATGAGCATGCGCACATCTTATTTTTTACGACATCTGTTATTTTACTGTTTTGGGGTATGAAAAACGACAAAAATGAGTGAATATTGATAATAAATTTGTTAAGAAATAAAATATTAATCTTATTATTGCAAAATGCAAATGATATCACATATATAAGTAAATTATTTTTAAGTTCTTATGTTAGTGAGATGGAAATGCAATGACGTATTTCATTATAGAAAATTTTAAATTTATTACTTAATAATTACATTTTAAAATTGAAGCTAATTTTAATATTTAATTTTAATACTTAATTAATAACACAAAATTACAAAATATTTGAGAAAAAATACTTTTCCGAATTTTAAAACGAGACCATGTGCGTGTTGTAACTTTTATGAAAATGCTGCCACATAGCACAAAAGCCCAGTTAAAAAAAAAAAAAAAAAGTCACATGACTTCCTGTTGGCACATTCCATGATGTGGGGAAGGGTAGAAGGGAGGAATAGAAATGACCTTCAGATGTCTCAGCTTCGATATGCGAAAAATGCACATTAAAAACTGAATTTGTCATAAATTTTGCACATTCGCGCATGCTGAAAGGTTAAGATTAGTTGCGACAACATCTATAGGCTTATCTGAGTGATGAATAAATAAATTCTCACATATACTAAACAAACAGACTGATCTGAACGTACTTAGTTATCTCAGCAGCAAATCAATTATTCTGACTTCAGCATTAAATGCATAAATTCAGCATACTGTTGTATTTTCTGATCGTTGTTATTTTATGAGACTATTTAGTGCTGCCTTTTTTTTTTTTTAATCTGGATATTTTGTGGATAAATTAAGAATATTTTAAATTTCAGCCCTTTTTAATACAATTACAGATAAGAAACACACTCATGATTTTACTGCTTGCAACACTGAAACAACAGGTTGCAACGTAAACAGGTTGCATTGACGGTAATGCAGAAAGTGCAAATTCTGCAAAATATGGAGACGGGTGCATTTTATAGCAGATTTAGTTTATCGCAAAATCGTATGGAATTGCGATACAATTGTGTATGATATAAGGGAAAATAAAGAAAAGCTGTTGAAATTTTACAGCAACAGCGATTCTAACACCGGAATCTGAAACCGGAAATCTTTGCATGAGGCGAAATTGGCAAACCTCGATGCTGTGTATATATAATACAATGATAATATTGTTATGGAATGTGCAGGCGCGGTAAGATGGCTTCCCCGCAAAGCAGGTTTAGGGTTGCCATTAAATAGCAAGGGGCAGGATTGCCTTATCTGGCGAGAAATTGCCCATTTGGCGACAAAATTGGTGATATGCCATGGACGGATGGAGAACCTTCCGGAACGAATTCTTAACGCTTTAGCCCAGAATGTTCTCGAACACAAGCCGAAAGCTATATAAACCCTGTTGGTCTACAGTCAGAGTGTGCACTTCGTCTGGTGAGCTGATAGTCAGTCAGTGTGTGTGTGCCTCGAAGTGTGAGATAGTTAGTGCCTCGAGTCGATCGAGTTGACAGCTGGGCAGCGAGTGCCGAGTGGGTCATCGAGTTCACCAAAGGAGTCTCTCAGTGTATCGTGGTTAGTGCATTGTCGAGAGAGCGTGTTGAGCTCCATGGACGACTGGACCGAAGAGGCGGGAGCGGTGTTCTGTGTGTCGTCGAGTGTATCGCGAGTTGTAGTGTGGAGAGTCTCGAGAGTATGTGGAGTTCCGAGAATGACCGAGCAGAGTCGGGAGCTGTACTCTGATGCTTTGCAGCGAAGCTGTCTCCACCGTTATTACCTGACAGTGTGAAGGTTGTGTTGCTGATTGATACAGCACATTTATAGTAGATCTTCAACGACTGTAAAAGTGTTTTGTAGCTGTCCTTGTAAATATTGGTAAATAAAGTGTGTTTCGATATTTAAGTGCTATCATTGTTATTCACTCCAAATCCACACGAACCCTGTACAAACATGAAGGAAGAAAATAACGTAACAACTGGTGTCAGAAGAAGGAAACGTAACAATATAATCAATTTATATATGTAATAATAATTTAATGCATATAAGTTATTGCAATAATTTATATAATAATTTAATTAAATGTATTTAATACGCCTTATTTATTTTGCACTTTTAGTCTGAATATTATGATTTATCTTTTCTGTCCTGAAATCCACAAAACCTAAAATCCGCACTACCTCTTGTCTCAAGCTTTGAGGATTTCTGGACTTCTACTGTATATATAAACAAAAAACGTTTTATTCATATTTATGGCATCTTAAACATACGGCATCACACTTAAAAACCATACCCCATCAAAATAGCCTATGACTAAACAGATCTGACAAAATAAGCTCCAAAATAAATAGCCCAAAACTAAATGCCCCCGACAAGATAACCTCAACAAAATAGCCCCATTTTGTAATTCTCTACCAGCCTTTAAGGTTTCTGTTCTTCAGCGCATTCTTCACAAAAATTACATTTCAAGGTTATGTGAAGTATTAAGAAAGTCCATATGTTCCATATTTGCATAATTTTCCACTTATGCTCCCAGGCGTCGATTCAGTTGCACATACTTAGTTTTGCTAGTGTCTATGATATAAATACCTACAGCAAGGTGTATTAAGTGGATTTCCACCATATCTTGCTCTTTTCGGAAATTATCAATAAATTTGCAGAGGGATGGATGATGGCAATCTACAGTTTGCTGGAATGCACAATGCCACCCTTCTATTGAATTATTTCCCCTCAGAAAAACCATTGATGGTGCGCTAGTGAGCCTACACATGTATTGCAAATCAAGGTTACATCTTACTCATCCTATATATGTATCTTCCCAGTAATTGATAATGGGGTCTAGTTCATTTAAGCATTTTTCAATTAATTCTTTAAATACTCTAACATCATGCACTGGTACAAAACTCAATGCTAACAACATCTTTAGATATAGACGCACATTTTTCATTATTTATATAAGCTTCTGCCAAATTCAGTTCTTGCATTTTTTGCCATAAGCACTGTCCCAGATGAAACGAACATGTGAAATGTAACTTTGTAAAGAATGTGGTAAGGAACAGAAACCTTAAAGACAGTAAATAATTGCCCAACCACATATAGAATTTCTATTAACATGCCCATATACAATTTTTAAAATGCACTTTTCAATAAATATTTTTAACTGTCAAAATTATCACCCAAATGGTATAGTGGTTAGGGGAACCTACTGCGGTAAAGAAGGGCCCAAGTTCGAATCCCGGAGAAGAGATAGATGTTTGCAAATGTACAGTGCCCATGTGGCATGGAGGCACTCTAAATATGCAGTGAGCTGAAAGTCCTCTCGTGCGATTTGGTGGAAGGGGAGAGGGGTGGGAGACCCCTGGATCACCCTCCAGTGCACTGTCCCTCAAAACTGGGGTGGAAAAGAGAAGTCCAACCTGTCTTTGGAGTAGGTTCTGGAAATCATTCTTCATGTAACACGGATGTGACAACAACAACTGTCAAAATTTATTTTTTTAATAATATATACTAATATAATTAATTTTATATAATTATATAACTAGGCTTAGCTATTACTTCGGGGCTATTTTGTCGAGGTTATCTTGTTGGCGCCATTTAGTTTGAGGCTGTTTAGCCTCAGGCTATTTTGATAGGTCATGCTTAAAAACCTACTCCCAAAATACATTCATCTTAAATTTCTGCATCATTTAAAATCATGTTAAATATTTTAAACTTAATACAAAAACTGCATATGTGATATAACTAAAACCTGCAATGCCTATTTTTATTTCAAAATTTTTTGAATGATTTTCCTAAAAACTAACATATACAGTCAAAAGTTGTTAATCCGGACTCGTCAGGACTTCGGCAATTCCAGATTATCGATTTTTCTGGATTATAGATCATCAGTTTAAATCTCGTAAGATGGCATGCAGAAATTCTAAAATTAAAATTATGAAATAAAGAACAATTATGATCTAAAGGGTATCAAAATTTACAAAAAAAAAATCTTAACATTTATTTGTTTACTTTATTAAACATTTCTTTCAACGTAAGTTGCTTTACTTCGTTTTATGTGATAATACTTTCTCTTTAATTCTATAAACAGACATAATTTCTTGTTCAGTTACAAAGTTCCGCTGTTCAAGTCCCATAATTGCTGTGCCGAGAATATCAACTAACTCGTCAATCAAAATTTTTTCGTTTTCACTAACCTCTCTGTCATCTTCTTCATGTCTTTATCCATTTTTTGCAGAAATTCCACTTTTTGTTTGATGGACATCGAAATATACTTTCGTTTTGTAGATCCTTTGGGAGCTCCAGCATCGGAAATTCTATTTGACATAATCGAAAGATCAAGTTTACTTTTATAAAATTGCTCTTACAGTCTACAAAAAATAATAAGCTGGATCCAATTCGAAGATTAAGGAACAACGCAATCATCAAGATTAACTGAAATAGATAATTACATAATTTTAGCTTATACCATCTGTTATACATAAAACGCACACACGAAAACGTATTCTTCACTTGCGCACACGCATATGCGTAGTCGTAAAGGTCTTACACGCACGCGTAAATGCCTATGTGCATGTGTCAATGTGGCGCATGCGCAGAAAGTTTTTAGCTTTGAGGTCCGGATTATAGATCATTCCGGATTATGGGTGTCCGAATTAACAACTTTTGACTGTATTAATAATTTTGCAAGTTAAATTACATGGGAATGCCAGAATATGAAATACACTGGAAGAAATATTAGTAATTTCTTTATAATCTGTAATTAAAACTAACAAGTTTAAAAATACATAGAATAAAGTAAATATTAATTTCTAGCTTCAACATACCATTCAGATAAATTTGTTGCCATTGCAGCAACAAATCCAGCAGCATTAAAACTAAGTTCATTAGCACTACATAAAGCCAGTCCTCCCATAACAGGTATAAGAGAGAGACAGACTAGCCAACTTGTCTTTTCACCCATCAACAACCAGGCTAAAAACACAGTGAAAACAGGTGCAGAACTCTTTACTGTTTCAGCAAACGATACAGGAACAAACCACAAAGCAATTAAACCCAGAATTAATGTAGAAAACCTTTAAACAAATGCAATAATAAAATTAAAGTTTTACGAGATAACAAATTTTAAACAATAGATTCAATAAGCTGAACAAATATACAAAAATAAGGTGAATTTTATATCACACCAAATAACACTGTACTCTTTCTAATAAATTACACAGAATATCAAAATTAAAACTATGACAAAGGAAATTCATTAAAGGAAGAAAACAACGTTCAACATTTTCTTAATCTATTAGTACTGTTTATTGGTTAAAGCAAAGTCCACAAAAATTATCTGTGTAAAGGAAAGGATGCCTTTTTGGAGACTACCTAGGGAAAACTGGCTTGTATTCATGTTATAAATAGGAAAAACCATGAAAATGTCCATGCTGCCAGCCTGTTTGCTGGGATCTAAACACAGGAGAACTAGTGGTGTTCAGTGGTCTTATCCATTCAGTCGTTAGTAGCCAACCATAGATAAAATGTTTTTACGAACATAAAAAAGTTAGCAAAAAATATTTTGATGTAACGCAGCCTGTATGGGAGTAATGTTACAGTATATTTAAACAAGAAAAAACACCCAGCTCAAAATAAATATAATTTAACTTTTATTAATTCACACATTTGCAATAACTATAAGCCTTGATAAAGTAATGATTTTCCTGTCATAAATAGAAATTATTACAAAAATCAAGATTCAAAATTTTATACTAAAAGAACAAGGATCTCAACTTAACTCCTTGCTCATATAAGTTTTATAATGAAGAAAAACAGTTTCAACCCAACAGTTTTTAGATTCACAAATTGTTGAACATAGAAAATGCCGTGGTTAAAATATTTATTGAGATACGCAGAGTTACACGCAGCGAAATAAAACCAAAGTTACATACTACATGCAGATTTACAAGCAGAGAGTGAAAACTTTGATACTTTGATATGAACATGATTTACAGAGGTTATATATATAACTTTACAACAGATCATGGCTAAACAAATCATAAACAAGACGCATAAAACAAACAATCAAAAGTAACAAAGAATGGGATTAACTTTTAGAATAATTCGGACCTGACCGATACTTAATGCATTGGACATGACAGAAAGCTATACTTACCTTTAACCAATAAGAATGTGATTACAAATATCTCAACGCTCCCCCTTAATCGCACATTATACAAAACATAGACGAATTAAACAATTTTTAAACAACTTGATGATAACAGTTCATAGAATTTTCTTTTGGACAGAGCCTTACTTAACATATCTGCAATTTGTAAACCTGATTGTACATATTCAATTCTAATATTATTTTCTTTAACAATCTAACGAGTAAACTTTAATTTTATATCTATATGTTTCAGCTTACCTGAAAAGTTTTCATTAACAATACTTTTAATACATGACTGGTTATCTTCAAAAATATAAACATTTTTAACAGTAGAAATGTCATTTACTACATTTTTTATCCATAAAACATCTTGAATACCTTTGCATAAAAAGCAATTATTTCAGCTTCTGTTGAAGAAAGTGCAATACAATTTTGCTTGTTACAGCACGACATAATAGGACAGTTTGAAAACACTATTAAAGTAACCAGTAATTGATTTCCTATCTTGAGTATCTCCCCCCCCAATCTGCATCTACCATACAAACATAAGTTTGCCTTTTCCAAATCACCCTTTTTGTATATCAATTTTAAATTTAAGGTGTTTTTCAAGTACCTAAAAATTCTCTTTAGAGCACACCGGCAACATCAGTAGGATGCTCCTGCAGTTGGCTTAAGCAATTTACTGCAAATAAAATATCTGGCCTTGTGATATATGCTAAGTAAAGTAAAGATCCAATTAATTTTTTGTATGGGCCATGAAATGCATTTTCTTTCTGAAAATCAGCTGCTGTAGATTTTGCTTCAATGGGAATTTGGGCTGTTTTTCAATCAGACATTTTAAATTTATCGAGTAATTTTTCAATATATGGTTTATCATCTAAATATAAACAACCAAACTCAAACTTCAGTCTAATGCCTAAAAATTCTGAGACCCTTTCAGATTTTGACATTTGAAATTCTTTAGATAACAATGATATTATAATACTAGTTTCTTTTACATCCGAACCTGCAATTAATAAGTCATCTACATAAGGAGCCATAATTACTTTCTTACAATTTAGATTTCTGATGAAAATACATGGTTCAGAGTCCAATTGCTTAAAATCTAATTTAATAACAAAATTAAGAAATTTCTGATACCATTGTCACGGAGACTGTTTAAGACCATATAAACCCTTTTCTTACCACTCATATCATCATACCCTTTTGGCTGGTATATGTAGATGGTTTCATCTAACTTACCATTCAAGGAAGCCGTCTGACATCTAAAGTAAAAGTTTGTAAACCTTCATTATTGATAATTACCAGGATTAAACATAAAGAGCACATACTAATTACTGGAAAAAACGTGTCTGTATAATCTATGCCTTCCTTTTGCATGAAACCACAAGCAACAAGCCTGGCTTTTTAAGTTCCATCTCGCTTTTTACATAAAACCCATTTGCAGGAAACAGCTCTCTTATCAGGGGATAAACTTTGTAGATCCCAGACATCGTTATCTTCCATAGATTTCATTTCCTCGTCCATAGCTCTTTTCCATAATTCTTGTTCTACTTGTGGTAGATTTACAATATCTTCAAATGCCAAAGTGTCTTGCTGTGCAAACATTTTCTGGTAGATCTCAGGATTAGGATACCTAACTGGTTGTTTCTTTTCTCTTGTAGATTTTCTTTGTTCCTCCTTCTGATTTGCAGCGTCTAATTTGCCATTATCAGTGCCTGAAATTGATTTGTCTTCATTTTTAATGTCATCATTGTCATTTTCACTCAAATCAGAACTATCGGAAATATATTTTTGATTTTCTACTTTCTTCTTTATTTCATTAAATATAACATTTCTGGAAACAATCATGCGTCTTGTTTCTGGAATCATTAAACAATATCCCATTGTGGAATAAACTACAAATATCATTATGGTAGATTTTTCATCTAAGTTTCTTTCTTTGGGATGGTGGCACAAGAGTATAAGCATCACAGCCAAACGCACGCATGTTTGTTAAATCAGGATTTTCACCATACTTCAAAAAATAAGGAACACGATTGTCAATCGAACTATTTGGGAGTTGATTATTTATATAAGCAGCCATAAGTACTGCTTCACCCCAAAGGAATTTTGGTAAATTAGACTCAAGTATCATTGCTCTAGCTTTTTCCAGTACAGTTCTATATTTGCTCTATCAGCAACACCATTTAGAAAAAGTGTATAGGGAGGTGCAGGATCTATTTTTACACCTGCTCTTTTAGCAACATCACAAAGTTCTCCACTGACATATTCTTCGGCATTGTCACAGCGCAGTTTTGTGACAGTTGGATTCAATTTAAAGAATAGTTTAAGTTCATAAGCAATGTCACTTTTACTTTTGAGCAGTCCAATTTGCATAAATTGCAAGTAGTCATCAATTATAATCATGAAATACTTTTCCCCATGGAGTGTTTGAGGTTCTATTGGACCACATATATCAGTGTGTATGTTTATAAGTGGTTTGGATTATTTTATGTGAGGACCCTTTCCTATAGGCAAAGCACTTTGTTTGACATGAACACATACTTCACAAAAAGTTTCTTTTGCAGGAAGATTCATTAGTTTTAATTTTTGATCACAACATTGTCCTAATCTTCTGTGCCATAAATCATCATTCTTTACTGCTAAAGTTGTAAATAAGTTTGGTAAAAAATCACTAAAATATTGTCCAAATATACAAATCTAAAATGTTTGTTTTTGTTTTCAATGTAAACTATTTCATTTTTAAAAATTGCGCTCAAAACTACTGCTTCAATATTTTTGACAGAAATTAATTGTGCATTTAATTTTGGAATGTAAAAAACATCTTTCAACATTATTTCAACACCATTTTTAGTTTTGCGCAAATGTCACCAATCCCTTCCACTTCTAAAAGTGCCGATTTAGACGCGCATTTAACAGTTCAAGTCTTAAGGCTTAATTGAGGTAAACCATTCCTTGCGAGAAGACATGTGAGAAGTTGCACCAGAATGAATAATAAATTGATCATGCACAAGATTTCCAGCCATAAAAGATATTGCAGGTGATGCATACTTATTACTATTTGAATTTGCCTGCTTTTTAGAATTATCAAAACATTCACTTTTGAAATGACCAGTTTTCCCACAGCTATGACTGACGCAGTTCTTTTTCCTACAGAATTTAACAGAATGTCCTTTTCTTTTACAATAAGTATAAAAGAGTTCTTTACGAGCACTAATAAAAACAGAGTTGTCCCTCTTTGGTTTAAAATACTTATTTTCACTTTTATAATCAAACATAAGAGATTCACAATCAATAAGTCTCTTGTAACAACAAAATCCAAATTCAAATTATCACTTGGTTGATTTTCTAGTGATGCCTTAACATTTTCATATTCCTTTGGCAATGACATTAAAATGTAAATAATAATATCAAAGTCATTTACTTTAGATCCAGAGACACGTAGATTACTAACCAAGTTCATTATGTAGTCAATATGTTGTCTCACTGACACATCTTTGGATTTTCTTATGGTAGCTAAACGTTTATGTGTTAAAATTCGACTCGCTGCTCTTTTAGCACTATACGTAGCTTTCAGTTTCTTCCATATTTTACATGCTGTGTCTTCATGTTGAAGAGAAGCAATAATATTATCACTTAAAAATGCAAGTATTAAGGCATAAACCTTTTTTGATTTCAAAACATCTGCAGTTCTGTTTGCACTTGCTTCTGTTTCCAAAATTGTATCCAATTCCTTTGCAGTAAATACTACTTGAACTCTTCGACACGAAACAGTAAAGTTATTAACACCATCAAATGGCGCAACACCAACAGCTTCCCTTTCTCTTCCGGTTGAAAAAGCCATCATTCACGAAAAACCAAAACAAAATCACATGAACGATAAATTATAACACTGGCATAGAAGATTCAATTAGGAAAAAT